CTCAAGACATTGCAGGAGCAGGGCTATGCCGTGGAAGCTGTTGTCATGAACCCAGTGGATCTGGGAGAGCCTGTGCAGCGGCCACGCTATTATTTTATTGGTGCTCGCCTGGATGTCTGCATAATGCCTCAGGAGACTGTCCATGCATTCCTGACGTCAGCATGGGCACACATCAAAGAGTCTGGCCTTCCACATGCCACTCTGGCAGACCGGCTTCTCCCAGCACACCACCCATCGGTTCAGCGGCTAGAGTGTGCCAGGGAGGCGGCCTGGGCGAAGGCAAGGGAGAAGGGGTTTCCAGACAAGAAGAAGGATGCCAAATGGTCTCAGCTACATGCCCAGTTTGCTGCTTTGCACGAGCTGAAGCAACCACAACCAGGGAGAAGTGGGATGGCTGCACCTGGAGGCATGCCGAGCCCTGCAGACAGGCTGCATTTGCATCTGCCACGTCAGCGGGAGGCATGGACCCTTCTGTCCCAACAGTACGAGAAAGCTGCTGCGCTGGTGGCAGATTTGTCGCAGAACGTTGACCGTGCTGCAGTGCGGACAGACGGCACTTTGCCAACTGTCACACCTGGAAGTTACCTGGTGCTGCGGGAAGCTGGTCGGGTTGTCACACCCATCGAAAAGATCTTGGTTCATGGGTTTCCTGTACATCGGATGTTTTTTCCTGCACAGGTGACTGATGCAGAGCTGGCCAGCATGGGCGGAAACACCATGCACGTGCATGTTGTGGCTGTTGCCCTGATGCTTGCCACCAGCATGGTCGACTGGACCCTGCCTGCAGCCCATGACACCTGCATCGTCACTGGTCCCAGCTCCAGGCCAACGTCCAAGACAGCAAGGCCAAGGCCGCAGGTCCCCAGGTCCAAGGCCCCCAGGTCATCGAACAGAAGGCCGAAGCTTAAGCAAGAGTCTTTGCCGCAGAAGTCCCACCGCAAGGTTCGGCAGGTCAGGAAGGTTTGTCTGGCAAGCCGTTGGCATCTGCCTGAGCGTCGCAAGCCGGGAAAGAAGCCCCCTGTTGACAGACGCAGAGTACAAGTGCCCGGTGCACACGTGGAGCGGGCCAACATGCTAGAGCTGCTTGCAGCTCGGTGGTACTAGGCAGAGATATCCTGCTGCCAGTTTTCTATGAATTACTTCATATGCTTCTGCATGGCATCGTCAATTCAGCTCTGCTGGAATGTACAGGCATGGACACTTACAAGTTGCGTTTGAAACATACCCAGTGTTTCTGCTGTCCTATTACATGTGATGATATCTGGCACCTCCCTTGTCGTTTTAGGTGGCGGAAGGACCTTGGTCTGTAAATTCAGAACTCATCTGGCCGACTGCAAGACTAAGAGCAAAACACAGGGTCCCTGCAACACTGCATTGCTCCTGCTCCGGGGGGGGGGTCAGCCAAAGATGCATCGTGGGAGGCATTTCTGCTGCACTCTGTGTTCCAATTGAGCTCAGTGGTTCAAACGTTGGCAATTTCGATAGGGTCCGGTAGGTCCCATGTGGCTCACACCTCTATGTACGAGCTGAGGCATGACTGGGGGCCTAGAGTATGCGTCAATGCAGATGCAGTCACATCACTTTAGCAGCAGGTGCAAGGGATGTGTGCATCGCGTCCGTCATTGCAAGTTGTAGGTCATGCCAAAGCATGATGGCGAGGCACTTGTTTCTGCCTTGGCACGGAGGTTTAATTTGCCAGCAAAAGCAAGGGCGCGGCCTCTAACTGCCAAGCGGCCAGCGCGACACCATGCCGAACCCAAGCCCAAAAAACAAAGCAGAGCTAAGGATGCCTCACAAGCACCGGAGAACGTGCAGCTCGAGGATGAGGAAGCAGCTGACAAGAGCGACGCCCAGATCGGCCCAGCGAGTGAAACCGATGTTGAACATCTGGCACGGCACAATGGGGGCCGCAACGGCTGTCCACGGTGCAAGCTACTTGGCTGCGAAGGCTTGCAGTCAGTAATCCTGCTCTTGACTTTTCAACTATCATCGGTGCCATGCTGAAGTGTCTGCAGGTTCCTAAAGCACCAATCTGCTTGGGCTCGCATCGGAAGTCTTGCCCACAGCTCCTGGGGTCCCGGCAAGAAGCAGCGGACTTGTTGGTTGGGACAGCGGCCTGCGCGGCGTGGCGGGGCATGGGCTATAGGTTGTCATTTTTGTGCCCATCTGATGCATGTTCTGGCACATGAGCCGGAACAACGCAAGAAGCTGTGACTCGACTCGACCACTGCAGGTACACAGTTTAGAAACGCTGAGAGAGTGGTTTCCTTGTAGGGTTTTCAGTCTTCCTTGTGTGCGGGCAGTGCATCAGCTTCAGGATTGGCAGCCGCTTCTCAACCAAATGGGGAGCCTACGAAGTTCGCTCTCTGACAGCTGTTTGCATTGGTCACGTTGACTGACAGGGCTACCCAGGTTTGTGGTGCAGCGCATTCTGACATCCCTCTCTGCTCAGGAAGTGTATGCAGGCCAGTTGCATGCGCCAGCACGAGCGGTACTATGTCCACAAGGTTGCAACGAACGTGTTCCTTGCACCTGATCGGCCAGTGTCAGAATGTCTCCCTCACTGTCTCAAACACCAAAACCTGTTCAACGGAAATGTGCCCCAGCCAAAGGATTGGCTGAGGGCATGGAGAGCCTGTCGCACCGCAGCATCCTTTCATTCAGCGGCCAAGTATTTTGAGACAGACGACTACGCTGCAGGGCAGCGTGGTCAGGTGGATCGGTTTCGCAGCTTGAATGATTGATCGGTTGTAGGTTTGCAGGTTGGCTGCCTATCGTGGGTGAACACAACACCTGCCAACCGAGGCCTCAAGAAACTCATCACGGTCATGCATTGGGCTGTCAAGCATATCCGGAAGGAGAAGCTGCAGCGTGCAAGGAGTATCAGCATTTCTGTTGATGATCGCAAGGAATACCGTCTATTGCGATACAGGTGCAGCATGCAGCCTTCCGCGCACCAAGGTCTTGCTGGCAGTGCAGAAGACGGGTCCCCAGGTCCCCAGGTCCCTATGGCCCATGGTTCCCGGGCTCTCGAGGAATGGTGCTCTGACTGCCCAACCCTTGCGGCTGAAGGTCTGCTGGGTGTCCACAGACTAGGTGGGCCCGCAAGAGAACAGCAATTGGAATTTCATGATGAGGACAAAGCCCAAGCCATGACATCCTCGGTGTTGGATTTGCTGACAGAGGCTTGCCGAGATCCAGAAGGGAAGGTCGACTCTGAGGCCTTGCAGCATTTGCGGGCACATGTGCGCCACTGTGCATCTGACCAATGCCCAACAGTCCAGAAGTCTGGGAAGCAGCTGGCAACCTGTGCCGAGCTGCCGAACCTGGCCTGGCTCAGCTACGACCCAGCCCACCAGATCCGAATTGCGTTTCAAGACCCGCTGCATGCTGTCCCAGACTTCAACGAGCAATGGCAGCTGTTGTTCGCTGGCCGACATGCTCTGATACCCGATATAAAGAATTCAGAAGTATGGAAAAACCGCCTGCTGGCCGCGCAGAAGGCAGTCCTCGACAAGCATGGCTCTCAAGCCGGTCTCGAGAAGACCATGAGAGCTTTTTCATTTGCTCAGCCAAGATTTGATTCCACGGCAACGCCCATGATGAAGTACTGCTTGCTTGTGCGTGCCATTGCCATTGTGCCATGCAAGCCGTCGATGTGCCCTGCCTGCAAGGAGCCTTGCAATCCCAAAAGTCCTAAATTGCTTTCGTTCCTGCGGCGGGCTACAAGGAACGCAACAACAAAGAGATCCGACATCGTGCGGAGCTGGCCCTTCAGAGGATGCAAGGTCCAAGTTTGTTTCGCTGTGCTCTCACTTGCGACTACACCTCGGAGTGTCTGCGGTTTCTCCGTGTTTTCGACAAAGAGGATCCCGATGCAGCAAAAATTCCAGAGTTTCTAGACAGTTTCTGTGCGCGACTGAAGCTTCTTTTCGTGGACGGCTACATCCTTGCGGATACATGCTCTGCAGGTCCATCAGGTCCCCAAGGCCCCAGGTCCAGCACATCTCCGCAGACTCTGCAGACTGACGTGGATGGCAAGACCATTACGCAGCGTGTCTACGAGGAGATAGAGACGCCAGAGCCGACACTTGACTACACTGTATAATAGCATGCAACGGACTTCATGCGTTGCACTGTATCATACTTAATTAAATATTGTGGCTCTGGTTTTCTTGTTGGCTGCCAGGATCTTCTACGGCAACAAAGTTCATTACCTCTGCACACATGCTGGAGTGGCGGAAGTGCGCCGGGTCATGGAACAAATGAGCGACGTGACCAAGGCAATGCTCAAGCGTGTGAAGGTGGATCTGAGTGGTGATGAGGTCGGGTTCGCCTTGCAAACGTTCAGTGTCCAGCTGTGGGGTGATGCCCAGCGTCGGTCGGAGTTGCGAACGCATGCCGCAACATTGTGCAAGCTTCTGAAACTGCAGTCAAGGACAGTTGTGCCTGTGGTGGCTTCAATTGGTGTAAAGTTGCACTCTGTTGTATGTGCGGCCAAGGCGCAAGGACTGTGTGTCAGCAACAGGCAGGCATGGTCGTGGGCGTTGCTGCCAGTGTGGCGTGCTCAGCAGGTGCCGAAGGTTCAGTGGTTGGATGACTGTGAAGTGCTCATAAGCTTTTACCTCTCCTTGAAAATCAATACTACCACGCTGGAGCGCAATCTCGGTGAGTTGCTGCACCAGCTGAACATGCACTCCGGGCCTTTGGCTGAAACTGGCGCAAGCGTGGCATCAATCATGGAAGTGTCAGCCGAGGGTCCTCAGAAAGAAGAGGAGTTTTTTATACCTCCAGCACAACCAGGAGGGCTGCTTGAGCCAAGTGACTTTGCAGTGAAATGTGCGCAGCTGTGGCTGGAGCATTTTGGACGCCGCTTCCGGCAAACCTATCGTGCGAAGAATCCAGAGGCACCCAGGTCCCAAGGTTCCCAGGACGCCAAGCATCGCCCCGGTACCTTGGCATCCATTGCTGCTGGGCAGGGCGCAGCCACGGCAGCCATTGTTTCTGCTGCCAAACGTGCGGGGAGCAGGAGGTGGGCACCTTCAAGCTTCATTCCCTCCATGACATTGCCCATGGTTTCTCGGCCGGACACAACCCATCTACATGGCACTCGTTGGGGCCCGGTCGGCTCCAGGGAAGCTCTGGACGAGGAGGATGGCCTCGCGAATTTCGAAAAGCGCACGGAACTGAAACGAAAGCGATTCTTGCCAGCTTTGGCAGATTTTGGAGTCGTCATATAATATAGAGAAACAATTGGACAAATTTGTGTATTTTGTCTTCCTGGGGTTGTCACATACAAGGGCATGAGATTGCGACCCAGTGCCGGGCTGCGAACGAGCCTGTGTACCAACCCACTGAGCCCAAGCGTGGTGGTTTGCGCTGCAAGGACACGCCATCAGAGTATTCCACTTTGGTGAACATCGGCAGAACGCGGCCAGTCAAGGTTCTTCCCGTCTTCCGCTGGTACAGCAAGGAGCCAACCATTGCTCCCAGACCCGGCTTCGTTATCCTTGGCCTTCACGCTTACAGGGAGGCTGATGTCATTGTTCTGCACCGGCTGTCAGACATTGACACAGTTTGTCATGATCAGCTGGTGCTGGGCCCAGTGACCAGCGCACATGCAGGTGTTAGGGACCGTGCATAGTGATAACTTCGGACCGGACCAAGTCCGCCAAGGCCTTGGCTCTTGTCCACTGCTATGGTCTTGGGAAGATTCTGACAGACAAGCAGGATATGGTCGCATTCATGGACAAGCCTGCAGCCGCACAGGAGCATCCGATGCTGTGCTTTGCCGCCTCTGCCCGCAGTAAATTGCTGGGTATTCAGCTTCACAGTGAGTTGCCGCAGCTCCTTGCTTGCATAAGGCCGGTGCACATGCTCACGCAGACCATATCCTGCAGCATGTCCTGAGCATCATGGACTGAGGTGCCGTTTCTTTCATGAGGCTCTGCAGGCCTGTGCCAAGACTTGGAACTCCAAGTGGCTTCTTGCTCTTGGCAAGCTTGATTTGCCGAAATGCAGCAAGAGAAGACCCATTGTGACACTACGAACACGTGCGGATGTGTGGACTTTTCTGAGGTCAGTCAGGGTGCTGATGCGGAAGCGCAGCTTGCGTGCTGGCCCGGTCATGATGAAGTCGTTGAAGAAGTAAGAGTTTGTGACCGCATCAGCCGGTGATGAATCTACACAATGTAGGGGACTCGATTGTGCAGAGGGGTTTCTGTTTCTGGTCCCAGAGCAATACGGTGCCAGATGGTGCAAACCAGGGGTCTATTGCGCCAGGAAAAAAGTGCCTGAATACGCTTCACTGCAGAAAGCATATGCGGCATTGAACGACAGCGGCCATTACACGTCCGGTTGGTGCAAACCGGTGGTGTATCGTTGCGGGAATTTCCCAGGCCAATACACTTCATCCGCGTTTAAGACTGCCACAGTAGGTTTAGGGAGTCCAAAACTCGGCGCGTACAAACCAAAGTGCCCCTCCAACTGAAGGGTCAAATCACCAGTTTGAAGGGTCATTTGGGCGAGCTTGTGGCATACGTAGCCTACATTGGCTGAGTGTTGCTGACCCTTCAACAGTGCTCCGGGACCCTTCAGATTGGGCCTTTCTGAAAAATCATGTTTGAAGGGTGTTTCTTGCAGACTGAAGGGTGCTTGAGCAGTATCATCTTCTGCCAGGGCCGAAGCTGTAAACTGCATATCAAGCAAGCCACTCCAGGCCCCCAGGTACTGAGGTCCAGGGCCCCAATGGCGTGGTCATCTGTCGGCTATCTCGCATTAACAGCTGCTGAATTGAGCCGCTTGAGATGCGAGTATCTAGACAGTTTGTTTCAGGACAGTCCCGCGAAGACCTTGACTTTCCCTAACTTCTGGGTGGAGTCTGCCAAGAAGGCCATGGCCTGGGCACGCAGGGATCAAGTCCTTCAGGTCGGCGGGGCACCGTCCGAGAGCGAGAAGGCAGTGAAGCATCGTCTTCGAACTGCTACCGAGCAGTTCAAGACTGCCATTGGGTGCACCAATTATGTCATCCTTCAGTTGCAGACCAAAGACAACGTTGCGGATGCGATCTCTCGTGGAGACTTGCTTCTTGAGGAGCTGGGTGAGGAGGGCGACACTGTCTATGTGGTTTCCTCCTGGTTCTCGCTGTTTCAAGAAATGCCATTCCAGAACAAGTCCAAGTGGATGTTGACCATTGAGTTGCTTGCCTGCA